TTTAAAAAATATTTTATTTATTTACTCATGAGAGAGAGCAAGAGAGAAAGGCAGAGACACAGGCAGAGGGAGAAGCAGTCTCCATGCAGGGAACCCAATGTGGGACTCAATCCTGGGACTCCAGAATCATGCCCTGGGCTGAAGGCAGCGCTAAACGCTGAGCCACCTGGGCTGCCCTAATTTTGAGATTATATCCAGAATTTAACCATGTCTTATGGAATCTACCGTAATAACTCTCGAGTGGAAGCTATCATCGCCTCTTGCCTGGGTTACGGCAAAAAGACCTGTACTCTACAGGCTCCTGGTAATCCGGCAGCCAGAATAATTATTTTAAAGCCTAAACTACATCATGTCAATCCTCTACTAACAGCCTCCCTGTCCCAGGCACATAGGCCTTCTACCATCTGGCCTCCTAGTACCTCTGTGACCTCACATTATACTATTTCTTTTCTTTCTGGGTCATTGTTTTTTAGGTAAAAATGGCCTTTGGCCATTCCTGCAACTTACTAGGCTTGTTCCTAATTCAGGGCCTTGGCATGGGTTGTTCTTACTGTCTGGGGTTATCTGCAGATATCTCTTTCTTTAGATATTTGCAGTTCCCTCTTTCACCTTCATCAAATCATTATTCAAATGCCACTTTCTCAGTGAGCCCTACCCTGCTTGCCCAGTTTAAAACTGAACAATTATCCCATTCCTCCCGTGCTTTGTCTCATTCCCTATCCCTTCCCTGTTGTATAGTTTTTTTCCCTCTGTTCTGTTACACTCATAACTAACATACTATTTTATATTTTACTTAGGTATTTATTTATTGTTCAACTACTCCTACTATATTTGATTATGGCATGGATTTTTGTCTGTTTTGTTCACTGCTATAACTGCAGTTCCTAGAGTAATGTCAGGCACATGGTTGGCCTATAATAATTATTTGTTGAATGAATGAACTAATAAGCACCCATCATTTACACTCAGTGAATAGACTTCATCTTTGAGGGGAGAAATGTAGAAGTTGTTTGTTTCCAGAATAAGAGGATTACAATTATATATATATTGGATTCCACGGGAATAAAAGTAGCTAAGTTTCCATGTGTCTACAGAGTTTGGGGGCTCTTTGACACCCTGATAATGTATGATTCCTTTCCCTTTCTAACTCTCAAAACATGATCATTTTCTCAGCAGCGAAGGACTAATTTTAAAGGATCCTGGAGTGCTAAATCTGCAATGAGAAGTTCCTAAGATGATGGATCATGATTACAGGTCTACAAGTCGCTCAGAATTCTGAACATTTCTTCTCTCATCATTGTATTGCTCTTCTTGAAATCTATGAATGTAATTTTGAAGGTATGGAAGCCCGTTTGATTACACCTATGAATAATTATGTGATGCCCCCCCCCATATTTCAACAGATTTAATTAGTGCATATTTTTTCATGTTTTTTTTTTTTTGAAGTGCATAATATCAGTTGAACATCCATGTCAGCCTACAGTGAGACCCTTGAATATTCTGTACTTTTGGGTAGCACAAATATGTGGAATGCTGAAGTTATTTTGTACCACTTTAACATCTATCCTTTGCTCATTCCTATTTTAAAGAAGCATAGAATTTTAGGGCTACAAGGTTTCAGTTCATTTGATTTGGTCACCTTATTCTACAGACATGACAAATGAGGCCCAACAACATTAAGTAACTTGCCCAGATACCACAGAACTGAGTAATCTTTTTGGTCAGAATAACTTATTCTAAAAGTAAAGCACACTGGAATTGAAAAATCGTTCTCAGTATCAGAAAATCGGATAATTAACTGAATATAGCAACAATTGCAACCTGCAGTTCTACCCCATTTATTTCCAAGGTGATTATATAAACACTGGAAGTCTAGGGCAAAGATAGCAAAGAACATAGTAGTTGATAAATAAGAAAGAGCTTCCTTCAGGTATCCTAATAAATAAGGGTTATGGATCCCAAAAGAATAAGAACTTGCAGGTCATCTGAAGTAAACTGTCCTTATGACATCCCAATGAGGAGAAGAGACCACTTCATCATAGAGATTCCGTATTAGGCATAGTTGCCACTATCTGGAGAACTAGGGTTTCTTTCATTCTTTAACCTCATCATTTTTAGGATGCCAAATTACTTAGATATCTGTGCTTTCTTTTGCACTAGTGACTCTATATGAAGGTTATTATGCCAAACAAATGTAAAAGTCTATGGTAACAATGCTTCATTTTCCTTTAACAGCTTTGTTTAAGGGATAGAGACATTTTTGTGGTGTGATGCATTCACTTGGTCTCCTGGCATTTTCTCCACATGCTTTGGAAATCGAGGATTTTTCTGAGGGGTGGTAGTCGTGAATGTCTGAATTTCAGCAACAGCTTCATTGTTTTAGCTTTGTTATAATTAAGATACCCTAGCAGCGTCAATAGTTTAGGATACTTGATATTAATCCAAGGGAGGATATTTTGACCCTTTGTGTACAGCAGTGCTCTCCAACTACAAACGATATTATGGCTAAACCAAATTTTTAAAATGGATTTTAATAGATTCCAGGAGGTAGGAACACTAGGATAAGTCATGTGACTTCAAAGCTAAGGTTTCTGCCAACTGCACAATTCGTAATTTCCTAAGAGTGATTTTTTGAGTTCTCTCTACCAGTGCCTGGTTTAATTCAGTTTCCTTTCTCTGTGGCTCACTTTCATTAACTCCTGTTGTATGTGATAATATGTAGATTAGACACCAGTAGCCTGAGAGTAAGATGTGGGTTCTATTCTGAAAAGCTAGGTCAAATCTGGCCTCCACATGATGCAGGTAAAACTCCCGTACAAGTACTATGGCAACATTAACTGAATGTAATTTTTTTTTTTTTATTTTATAAATTAATTTTTATTGGTGTTCAATTTACCAACATACAGAATAACACCCAGTGCTCATCCCGTCAAGTGTACCCCTCAGTGCCCGTCACCCATTCACCCCCACCCCCCACCCTCCTCCCCCTCCACCACCCCTAGTTCATTTCCCAGAGTTAGAAGTCTTTATGTTCTGTCTCCCTTTCTGATATTTCTTACACATTTCTTCTCCCTTTCCATATATTCCCTTTCGCTATTATTCATTAACTGAATGTAATTTTAATTGAAACGATCTGCTTCGGGTTATAATTCCTTAGATGTAATATCAATTTTTCTCTTAATTATTTTCTAGGTAACATACTTGAAAAGGGTTTTCAACTACTGCATAAATTGGATTTGCTTTGTAAGAAATTCTAACAATTCTTACTTTCCCTTCCTTATACTCTACACGTTGCCCAGCATTGCATCAGGCCCTGATTTACACATTATGATGAACTTTGACATCCTAAATATATTTATTATCTTGGAACTTTATTTGGCAAATAGTAAAGTGTTGGGGATATTAAAAAGAACTACACACAAAACTAACAGTAGACTCAACTATGACCCAGAGGAAATAATGAAGTAAGTTGCTATTTTAAAAAATGTAAGCAATTAGGGCAGCCCGGGTGGCTCAGCGTTTAGTGCCTGCCTTCGACCCAGGGCACGGTCCTGGAGACCGGGGATCGAGTCCCACGTCGGGCTCCCTGCATGGAGCCTGCTTCCCCCTCTGCCTGTGTCTCTGCCTCTCCCTCTCTCTCTCTCATAAGTAAATAAATCTTTAAAAAAAGAAAAAGTGGTGGTTAGACGCCCGAACCCGGTACCATGAGCCTGGCGGCCGCAGCGAGGTATTCCCTGGGGACCACCAGCATGTCCCAGCGCCTCTCCGGGGATCCTGCGGCAGAGGCAGGGCGGGCAGCGGGCTCTGCAGGGCCTGCGGAACACCCGGGCAGCGCCGGCCCTCGGGGGCGCCAGTCTTTTGGAGGTTCCCCTCCCCCCTGCGGAACGCACGAGCCGGGTAGGACCCCAGTTCACCCCCATTCCTAGGCAGAAGCTCACACCCGCCAATCTCTGCCCTGAAGCTGAAAGCAAACTTGCAGCGGAGGTCACTCAACCGCTCGAAAATCCGAGCCCGCTCAGCTCCGTTCGCAAACAACCGCCGGGGCCTCGAGCCGCCTTCGATGCTTCCCCCCGCAGGCCCGGCTGGGCGGCCCGCCGCCGGGATGCCGGGCCCGCCGCACCGGAAGCGGCCGCGGCTGCGCCCCACGACGCCCCGCCCCCTGCGAGCGTGGCGGAAGTGGCTCGCTCGGGGAAGGAGACCACGGCCGCCTGGCCGAGCGCGCATGCGCTAGCGCCGCGCCCGCGCAGCTGGCGGTGGGGGCGTCTGCCGCGCTCGCTCCTCGTGTCCGCAGCCCCCGCCCCGCGGAGAGTCGGGCTCACGCCATCTTGTGCCCCCTCCCCCCCAAAACCCCTGCCCCGGGCTGAGCCACTTTGTGCTTTTCGACACTCTCAGCCCTCCACCCCGCCCCCTTTCGTAGCGTGTCCCGGGCGCCGCCGCAGAAACCGCAGCATCTCTCCCCACACTGTCCACGCGGGACGCAGCCGTGCCTACAGTGTTAGAGCGGAGGTTGTAGGGGCGCGGGGGGGGGGGAGGAGGGAGGGAGGCGGGGCGGGGCGGGCGGGGAGAGGTCTGCCAACCGGGAGGGACGGCGCGCGGCAGCCCCGCGTCTGGGGTCCCGCCCGGCCCCGGCCCCTGCCCCGGCCCCTGCCCCGGCCCCTGCCCCGGCCCCTGCCCCTGCCCCTGCCCCGGCCCCTGCTCCGGCCCCGGCCCCTGCCCCAGGGCGGCTGCGGGGGAGGAAGGGGCGTTTTGGGGACCGGGCCCAGGGAGACGCAGCCCGGCTGGGCCCGGTCCCCCCGCCGGCGGGGAGCAGCCTCTTGACTCCTCCCCGTGGGCGGGCGGGCGCGGGGCGCGGGGCGCGGGGCGCCGGCTGGGCTGCGTTAGGGACCTTCCGCGCTGCTCCAGCTCGCGTGTTGCGGGGTGGACTCCTGGGGAAGGACACGCTCTTCACGGGCAGCGGGGAAGGAGCGTCAGTAAGGGGGTAGCGTCCCGGGAAACGGAAGGCTCCGCTCGGGGCTCTGCAGGCTGTGCCCCGCCTGTGCCCCCTGCGGAAGCTGTGGAGCTCGCATCTGGCCGAGGGTCCGCTCTGCGCGCGGGGTGGTAACAGCCCTCCTGAACCGTCGGCCTTACTGGGGGGAACAGCACCGGGCACTGACCCGATGGTAACTGCCATTGATTGTAGTCTCCCACGTTTTAAGACCTGCCGGATGACTGTTTTCTAAATTAGAAGTCAATACGCTTGAAGGGTTGACGAGCCGGGGTTAGACTACTAGGAAGAGTGAACACCTGACGCTCAGAGAGGATACTAACGTGCATCGGGGCTGTGCACGTGGGTACAGGAGCGTCACCCGGTGAGGCTGCTACACGACACGCCTGAAACTGTTCGGTTGGAAAGAAGTCAGTATATGTTTATCTGGGAGGAAAGGACCTGAGGTCTTAGAATATGTTAGGAGTTAGAACTTTGGAAACGGAATTGAGTTAGCTGTGCAGAGATGTACTTGGAGAGCAAACTGAGGACGGATCTCCTGGAATTTCTGGTGGGTGTTTCAGAGACTGGGTTTGATTGGATAGGACGAACAGGTTTTTTTTTTTTTTTTGGATGGGGCTTTGCAAAAGGAGATGCACCTCATTGTACTTCATTATTGCAGACTTGTTTCTGGGACTCTTGAAGCAGAGATCTAGAGCAGCCTAAGGCGGGAGCACCCTAAGTCTAGAGCAGCAGTGTCCAATATTGTAGAACTTTCTGCCATGTTGGAAATATTCTGTAGACTGTGCTGTACTAAGACGGTATCCACTAGCCTCAGGTGGCTCTCGAGCCCTTGGATAGTGACTAGTAGTGCATTGAGGAACTTAATTTTAAGATTTAGTTTCAATTAATTTAAATATAAATAACCACGAGTGGCTGGTCCTTGTTGGACAATATAAGCTTAGAATTTAAACTTTGAGACCCCTTCTTGATTCTTGACTTGGTCGAGTTGTAAGTCAAAGAAGCCAAGTCTTGGAATGTTTGTTGCCATAGGGAATCCTAATTAAATTCAAATAATGCCTTTTGCTCAAATATTATAGTTAAAGGCATGGGTCTGTTAGTACTTATTTACAGCTTGATAAAGTAAATCAGTCTTTTGACTCCTTAGGTGGTTCCGCTAATGCCACATTCATCCGGAGAACCATAGCAATACTAACTGACATTTCTTTTAATCATTATTGTACCAAGTTGTGACCATGGATTTTCACTATCTTCTATCATTTTGGTTAGGTTTAATGAAAACTTTTCACCTTTTATTCAATTTTTTTTTCCATTTGAAAGATGGGGTTTTTAAAAAAATAACTTTTGTATGATAAAGCAAATTGATAGTCTGTAGTAGTAGCCTTTGAACATTGGGCCATTTTATTTTTTTTTTTGCTAAAGATTTTATTTGAGAGAGGGCTCAAAGTGGGGGCAGGGAACTGAGGGAGGGGAGAAAGCAGACTCCTGGCTGAGCAGGGACCCAGACTCCACTCAGAGCTTGATCCCAGGACCCTGAGATGAGGACCTGAGTGGAAGGCCGGTGCTTAATGGACAGAACCACCCAGGTGCCCCAGCATTGGGCCTTTTTAGAAATAATTTTGTGGTCATTGGTATTCAAAACTTTTGAAGAGATAACTCTGAAACTTGATGGTATTTGTAAGATTTCTTTCTTTGAGGGCAGCCCGGGTGGCTCAGCGGTTTAGAGCTGCCTTCGGCCCAGGGCGTGATCCTGGAGACCCGGGATCGAGTCCCACATCAGGCTCCCTGCACGGAGCCTGCTTCCCCCTCTGCCTGTGTCCCTGCCTCTCTGTCTCTCTGTGTCTCTCATGAATAAATAAAATCTTAAAAAAAAAAAAAAGAAATATGTAGGCTGTTTTTTTTTTCTTTTTAAAGCAAATATCTGTAGAGTTCAGTTTCAGAATAAAACTTAAAAAAATACATTTTTAAATAGATAGCATCCTTAACTCTGGCCTGGTGCTTGTAAAATGGTGTCCTTGATCTCAAGGCTAAAGATAGTCATTAGATCTGAGCCAAAAACTTAAAGCTCATGGATTAAGCATGTACAGAGAATAGCCTATATCATACAAATCAGGATGGGTTGCTCTTATATAGGGTGATTGTATACCCCACCTTCCCTGCGACAGTCATTATTTAGACCCTGTTTTTCCTGGTATAATTATTAATAGAGCCCCTTTCATATAAAAAATGTCCCAGTTGGTACCACATATGATCACCCTACTTTTATTCTTGTTGAATTTTGTAATATGTAATTTTAGGAGGATTAACCATATTGCAGTCTCACAAATGTACTAAAGTATTGAGAGAATTATTGCTTATGTGCTCAAGTAATAGATAGGAAATCTAGAATAAGGCCAGCAAGTGACCTGTCCATTTAAGCTGCTGGTTATTAAACATTTTTGCTTTTCTCCTTATGTTAGATGGAAATCTTGGGCAGCTTGAATTTTGGTTTTCTCTACATAAATGATCTTTGGTGTAGGAGACTCAAAGTTAGGCCATGTCAATCAAATCAGAAGACACTATTCTTGTGGAAAATAACCCCCATTTTATTTTATGGTGAAGTTGAACAGTGAAGTTGGTCAAGAAGGATTTTGCTTATAGTTCACTCAAATAATAAAGAAAAATACTTAGCCAAATGCATTATTGTATTAATTTATACTGTGATTGGTAAAATGTTTTATTGAGACTCAAACACACTTGGTTTGAGTCCTTACTCTGCTGAGGATTAAATGAGGTAATCCATGTGATGTGTTGGGTACAACAAAGCACATAAGAATTAAGTGCTCAGTAAATATTAGCTGTTTTAGCCTTAAGTTTATTGAACAATAGACCTTGAAGAGCTATTGATGTTCTGAGATACATTGTGGATAGATGCAAAGAAGTACTTAAAACTAATTCTGAAAACGTGAATTTAGCCCTTTTCTACCATATTCTCTCTCTGTGACTGCAGTTAAATGGTATTTAACTTCTCTGATCTCATTTTCCTCATCTGTGAAGTGGAATTACTATCTCAACTCATCCCAGCCTTCTCACAGGATTGTTGAAGACTTCAGAGGAGAATTACACAATTGTCTTGCTTTACAAAACTTTTATTTTTTAATTGGTGGGGGGTGGTGGGGGGGGTGGGGGTTATTATTTACCAATTTAGTCAGCTCACACCTCAAGGTCAAGCTAGCTTCCTCTAGACACATGTTGTCAAATTTTCAATGAACAACAGCATCGGTAAATTTGGCCCTGGCTAATCACATAACCATTACTTACACATCAATACTTATATCAATCACATTATTTCCACACTAAAAAAACAAATAAAAAACCCTCAAACAAACAAACTCTTTTAATCTTTTATATTATCCCCCCCTCCTCACATTCACATTCTATCTATTTTAATCAAATCATCTCACATCATATCCCCCCCTCTATTCATAACCATCATTTCCACTTATATATCAAAAAAAACACCACTCCCACAACCATATACATTTCTTCCCAAAACATTTCAAATCATATAACAACTAACATATACCCAATAACACTTACCCAAACAAACCCTAATACAACAACCATTATTACATCACCTCAAAAAAAAAATTCCACTCAATACCTTCAAAAATAACACAAACCAATACAACATTATCACTATTCACAATCTTAACCACCCCACCATCCCATACCCAACCCCCCCCCCCCCACAACCCCCCCAAACACCCCCCCCCCCCCCCCCCCCCCCCCCCCCCCCACCCCCAAAAAAAACCCAAAACCCACCAAATATATATATATTATACACCACGATATAATATAACCCCCCCACCCAAACCCCCCCAAAATCCCCCTATTTTTATCCCCTCCCCCCCCCCCCCCCACCCCCCCCCACCCACCTTTTTTAATTTTTTGAGAATAGCATGCTGTCTGGCATAGGATATGTAGTAGTTGCTGGAAGAAATGGTTGTTCATTGAATTCATAGGGCAGTAAATTGAAATAATTTGTGCGAGAGTATTTTATAAATGCAAAATAATATGCAAATACAAATTAAAATCTTGAAGTATATTCTTGCTATTTTAAATGCTGTAGAGGTTTTATGACTGAAGATTGTATAATTCATTTCATGTTATTTGTTTCTGGATCTTTAAAGAACTCATGACATTCCTTCTCTGAGAGTATATATGTTTAATGATAGTACTTTATGACAAGCTTTTAAGAAACTATAGTTTTGCTTGGATTCTTTCTTTTCTTATTCATCTTCATCATTATCATCATCGTGAACCGAGTGCTTTCTATGTATTAGGCACTGTCCTGAGTGCTTTATATATACATTACTTTGTGTAATCTACGAGAGGAGTACTTTTAGCCTGTATTCTAAAGATGAGGGAACTGAGGCAAGGAGGTGATGTGACTTGCCCAAGGTCACATGGTAAGTGTTTCGAGCCTGTATTTGAACCCCAGAGCCCAGCTGTTTACTGCTAAACTGTGAGTCGGCATAGGCAGATACTTCACAACAAAGTTCCTATGACAAACACATTGTGGAGGTCTTATGAGTTAATTATGATCAACTTTTATTTGTATGTTCCTTGTGGGATAGTAGAAAGAACTCTGGACCAGAAGTCAGGGGACTTCAGTTTTAATCCCAGCTGTATCACTAAATAATGATGTGTCCTTGGGTAGTTCAAGAAACCCCTCTGGACTTCAGTTTCCTCACCTGAAAAATGAGGGATTTGGATGAAATTAGTTTTTTTCAAACTGTAGTTCTGCACCTCAGATGTCTTTGGTTCTCCTCCCACCAGTTTGTATAGTTAGAGTTTGGCCTGTTATAATTCATTGTTTATCTGCTTGAGATTTACTTTTAAGCACAGAATTCCTGAACTTTTGAAGTCATCAGTGTCTGAGTTAATTTTGTTACAAGTCCCCGGATTGCCTACTATGTGCACACTTCCCAGTAATTTCATGTTATTTTAGAGTGTTAAAGGAGATAGGTATCATTTACAAATGAAAAAAACCAAGGCACTAAAATGGGAGAAGGTTAGTAAATTTTTGTTAAGATATATATGTACATGGACAGAATATTTCAGGTTATTAGCTACCTGGGATCAAAGCCTGACTTTTGTTAGACTTGTGACCTTTACCCAGTTTTTACTCTTTGCTTCCTCATTGGTAGGGGGATAATACTTGCCTTGTAGGGTGAGTGTGAACAGATGTGGACTAATGCAGGTGAAAAACCCTGTAGAAACTCTGAAATGCTTATACAAATTCATCAATTTTTTACATGCCTACAGCAAATCTTTTTTATTTTTAATCACATTAACTGTGTTTTTAACTGCATCAGATAGTTTATTGACTTGTTTATATTTAAAATAAACTCCACATGATGTGAAATATTTCTAGGATGTGAATTCAGAGTAGGAGAGACTCTTGATGTTGAAGAGAGCTCCGCTTTTGACATCCTTGTCAAATACACTTACTACAAAAAGTCTGATTAACAAATTTTGCATTTATCTGAAAAGTTAGCCATTAAG